CCAGAAGGAGAGAAAGTAGACCAGTCACTATAGCCATCACTGGTGCCACGTAACTCATAAATACGAATGGATTTTTCAGGCCTAGATCAAAAGAAGTATAAATTAATTCATAGGTCTTGTGGCTTTTAAAAAACTAAAAACGAAACTTATAGACAAGAAAACACCATAGGCAGTACCCACCATAGGTTTCTTTCTACACATCATGTCGTCATCAGAATGTACCACAATATTGGAGACAAAACCATAGAAAGAAAAAGTGACGGGTTAATAACTTAATATATAAAGATCCAATGTATGGTCTGAAAGCGATTAGAAACTCAAGTTCAATAATATACCTGCAAAAGAACTTGCGTCATACACCAACGGAAACCAGACATGACAGCAGCAAGCATGACAAAAACGAAACCCCAAAACTCAAATTCTGTCTCCTTGGCAACTGGATACAAATGAATACACTTGAGGGGTGAACAAATAAAAAGTTAACGGCTTCGATTAGAAAAAAAATCAAAACTAAGACATCTAGATGGATATTGTAGCAAACAGGTAAAGAACTGGCTAAGTATGAACAACAGAGAACAAAGCATTATAAATCTGTATAAACATACCTGTTAACAACACTCCTGCTGAGATTACTGAAATAATGCCAAAAAGTTTCAGGCTTGGAGACTCCAGCCTTACAAGAGAAACTGTGTCAGAATAACACAACAAACAAAAATGATGGAAATACTCCATAATGAAAGCGCAGCATCATATCAGTGTGAAGACTAAAAATATGATGTGTATTCAAAGAGAATGATGTAAACGACAGCATTATAAAGTTTTAACTAGACCTATAGAGTCTACCATTGATAAAATCATAAAGTACAGACTATCACGCATGGTCTACAAATCAAGACAAAAAGTATATATATTTAGTTATGGATAAAGCACCTGAAGGCAAAAGCAAACAGAAGAAGAAATATTGGGGCTGCTGATTTGCACTGCAATGAAAAAAGCGTGAATTGCATTAGATAAGTCTCACCTCCATTTACCAGCAAATTCCTAGCAAGTTGCATAGACCTACCACAGAAAACAAAATAACTAACCATTGTCGCAAACGTAACCGATATGAAGACAAGTGACTCATTACTTAGGTTTATATCCATAGCAGTTCCTAGTGCTGTTGGTACAACTGTGAAAGGAGAGTAAATGCGGGTCATCAGTTCATAGAAGTTCAATATAATCAACTTCGAAACTGAAACAAAAAAAAAACTAAATCCTCAGAATTGTCCTGTCTCTTGATGTCACTAGGTACTGTAGATGATATGGGCATTGGATAAGTTTTAGAAAATCCTAAACATGTAGTGAGGATCACACAGAACTAATGGCTAAGGGAATGCTCATTAGCACATACAACAAATAAAAGTTCACGACATAATTTTGGTTAGTTCACCTCTAACGAAATAGTCTCTCCATGATATGGTAACATCAGGTTGAAATCTCCCCGACCAGTACCATGTTATCATCTTTGATAAAACAGCTTGAATAGAAAAGTGAATGGTATTCATTAACAAGGGAGCAGGAAATTTCCCCAAATCATCTCCTAAGAGAGTTTTGTTGTACCTATAAATTAAGTAAACAGATTAAATGCTTCCTGTACGGAAATAAAACAGGAAAGGAACATGGATGATCGCAGAGACATACTTACAGAGTCAAAAATGTGCTGAACGTGTACCATACAAGTATAAAGAACAGTGTTTTTAGCACATCAGCAGGAGAGATGGCCTGTTTTGACGCTTCAGGTACCGTTTCAAGGTTATTGCCGGAACTGTAACCCACATCAAAATTGCTGGAGTGGCCCGTGTCCTTCCTGGTCTCATTTTCAATATCAAACGGCTCTAAAACCTGTTCTCTGTCTATATCTCCCTGACTGGATATAACTTCCACTGTGCTACCACCACGGAGCTGCACTCTTTGCTCCATCAACTATATAAATTCACCAGATAACCTTTTTGGCTCCCATTCACAGACCGCTCCGACAGAGCATGCAATGTAGTACACACATCCTTTATTTACTCGACAGGGATTCTAAAAAGCTATCAACGAGTACCCCATTCCTTGTCCTAGACTTTCAAGAAGAAAGTTTTATCTTTGACCCAATCGGCACAATATACTCATATGTTGAAATGGTTCAGTGTTCAACTCTCTCTAGCACATCCCAGCGTAATAAATGAATTCAACAGAAGGTAGGAATCTCTGATGCTGGTGAATATGCAATGCAATTATCTGGAACCAACTTGACGCTTGACCTAGAATCACAAACAAAAGCTTAAGCCAGTCAAGATTTTTGTGAGAAATCCCAAGATGATAAAATAGGAATGACCTCAGCAGTAAGTGGAAAGCAAATCAAGCAGTCACATTTCAATCAAGGCAAGCTGCTAATACACTGATGCAGAGATCCAAACACAACATCATCCAAACCCAATGAAAACAAGCTGTGAGGCTGCTTCAGGAACAGACTAATTAAGTAATAACAATACAAAGAAAGCTATATCACTAGGACCTAGACAAAGCAAACACATACAAGAAAAGGAAACCAACACGAATGAATCTGACCAATCCAAATCAGGAAAAAGCTCAATGATTCCGAGCTCAAACAAATCAAAGGCATTAACGAAAAGAGAACTCCACTCAACCTGGATCGGGAGTGAGCTAAAAAATTCACAGATTCAAAGCTCGAATCCGAAAAGGGCAAATCAAATCTCGCATAGAAGATGAAATCGGAAAAGAGAGAGACCTACCAAGAGATGAATAAATCGGCTTTGTTGGATCTGATCGGAGCGTGGGAGGTACAAAGAATTGTGTGTATTTGATTTGATTTAGAGTCGCAAACCGCTGGTTGTTGGAGTTTGGTGCAATTTTACGAAAACATTACCGCTCGGAGTCTGTGCAAATGCATCTTGCGTTACCTTTTATTATCGTGACAATTACCCAAAATAACTCAAAACTAGATTAACCCACCCAAAAAGTATTACTAGTATAACTCAGATTTTGAGTAAAAAGTCAATTAACATTATAAACTTCATTTTATTATCGAAAATGCCATTTTTATTTATTT